TTGAAAGAGATGGAAGACCTTTACAGAATATTTCCCAGTGTGGAAGAGGGAGTAAAAAAGAAGATGAGAAACTTTTTGAGGGGTTGCTGAAGGAGGGCGGTGTGCAGAGAGAGATTGAGAGCGACAGACAGGGAAGGGGGAAGAACACCAAATGTTAAGTAGCAGTTGAAGTGGAAGAATTCCAGTTTGGATTCAAGCTCCTTGGCTAATGAGGATCATTAACATGGCCTGCCCAGATCCTCTAAACGCTGGGGAGGACTGGAAGATAAGGGATAAAAATAAAACCGCTCAAGCACATCCCCACAAGATTCATAAGGCGGCCACTTGTAAAAAACAAAAAAGATAGAGTACATGCTGGCTGTGGAAAGGTATATGCAATACCACATGCCAAGGATCCTGGGATAATTACCGTACAAGAACACTTGCTTGAACTCTGAACTCTTGAGATCTCAAGCACAGCGACAATAGAAGCAATCTAGATGTGTGATTCAACACATTTAAATAACAAGGTGAATTTGCCTCCCCAGTGCTGTGTGATGTGACGAATCAGAGGTTGGAATCAGAGGTTCGGATCAGTTCAACTACTGTATGGACTATGCAGGATGGAAATCAGAAGAAAATGACAGTAAAGTTGTCTTTCCCTTCACGTATCCTCCTTTATTTCAAAAGGGCTTTTCACATATTTGATCCTTTGAGCTTTATCATTTCTGCTCTCTCCACTGGCTGTTTACCACACAGTAAAACAAAGCTCCCAAGAGGCTTAAAACAAGCTCCTTTCCTGCTTCTATCATTTCATGATATACAGTAGACATCTGTTTAGAGAACTTGCAACCACTTCTACAGCGTGATCAATTGTTTAGTTAAAACCGACAGCATCAAAACAGTTTGGAAAAACAAATGTCTTTCGTCAGTGGTCCAGAATCGAGCAGAGACCTGCTTTATGGACATCCTGCCATCGATTCTTGTTTTTTCCTGCTCTCAGCACTGTCACTCTACACCGTTGGGGGGGCTGCGTATGTGAAATTTACAACATCTTGCCCGATCAGGCCTTCCCAACAAGCAAATACTGCAAACTTAGTGTTACATCAGCCCTTCAGTCACAGTGCAACTGCTTTTCTCTTCATCTATTATTTTGTATTAGAGCGCAGAGACACACACTCCGCTGTGTTAGACCCAAGGCTGTCAGACAGAAACGTGTCTTGATAGGATCCGCATAATTGGACACATTCATCCGTCTTTTATTAACAAAGTACTTTGTGGTGCAGAGATCAACAGTGAAGAGCTGTGATGGTACTGTTGTCTGGGTTTACCAAAAGAGCCTCAACTTAGATAGTGTTGAATACAAAAAAACTTTTAACAAGAAAACTAAACCCCAATTAGGCTCTAGGAAAATGCAGTTTGTAAAATGCTGTGGAAACATATCCAGTGTTTTGTATTTCTACATTGCAGTTTTTATACCATTGCGAAATATACCTAGAATAAAAACTAGTGAACTGATCCGGACTGATCTCATTTTTGTTAGCTTAATAAATACAGGCAGAAACGTTTTGGCCCCATGGTTGGCAGAATATTCATCACAACTGCAATGAAGCCATTATCTCTCCTTGTTTATTAGCAAGGAGCAGTGGACTGTACTTTCTTTAATCCCAAACAATTCACCAGCTCTTCTCTCTAGCTGATCCCCTCAGTTTTCAGGATGGCTTTCTCCGAATTAAACGTTCATTAAGTTTACATCAATAATTGATGGGTTGTAGTTTTGAATCAGAGCCTTCGATATTCGGATTGATACGCTTGTGGAAAAAAAGGAGGATAAGGCAAATTTAAAAGGAAAAGTATTTAGGGAAATATTGAAATGCTGAAAAGGTATACCATTTTTTTTTTTATGCAATTCATCGGGACATTGCTCGTAACAAGGCTGCCAAAAAACACTGATTTAGGTAATTTAGCATTGCTGTTAAATATATTTCAGTACATTGTATCCAATATTTTGCTGAGTTTAACAAAGTTGTAATACATGGATGCAGTAATGCCTTTACATTGTTGGCCACAATGATTCTAGAATGTACATTTGGTACACATACACACATTCCTATATAATATATGCCTGAAAATGTGAATATAAATTATCTAGAGTAATCCCAGGAGAAGAATCGAAAGAGAAGGAGAGAAGAAAGCATAGGTACAAAAAGAGAACTTTAACATAAAGCAGGAAAGAAAGAAGGGTAACAGTTCACACAGTCAGACAGATGCCTGCATCTGGCTCCTCTGCCTTGGAAACATAAATCAGAGCAGTCTAGTTAGGATTTATCACACAGACTGAGATGATCGCACAGGAGGCCGCTGAGGAGGAGCTGCTTGAAAGGTGAATCATGAGTGGAAGTACAGGAAAATGCTCCGTTCATTGAACTCTCTCAAACTTTTAAAAATGTGCAAAGCATGTGTAATGTATTAATAGCACAAGTAAATATGACTTTCTCACGAAACAATGATTAGAATTGTTCCATGGTAAGATAACTAAAACTACATCCCTAACCATAAAAGTACTAATCTAAGATTTCAGTCCTTTTACTGCAGTCCCTTATATGCGACAGTTTTTAAATCCGTGCAGTAACTGATGGATGACGCGGCCGCTAATGAGAGCTGGATATGTCCAAATGTAACTGTCATCCTAACGATAAGTAATGACGGTAGCTTAGCTAACACAATTAACACAGGCGCAGAGCAAAATAAAATTCCCCCAGTATGAGGTATTATGTAAATTATTAATTACCACATAGACTATTGCGATCTTGTTCAAATGCCCATTGGCAAAAAAATAAATGTAAGTGATTTGGAAAATGTAGCAAGGAAAATATAGTGAGAATAATTCAACAAAAATCACCTGCTCCTTAAGCGCTTTATAGAATACATTTGTATTTAACAACTTCACACAGGCTGACTCGCAATAAATGAAACTACAAACAATGAGAGTAAACATTAAAATAATTTTGCATTTGTTCTTGTCAGTGAAATGTCACCACTATTTCATTTCCATAAATCTTGGGTACGCAATAAGATTGTAATACACGTTTCAATTCAGACGCAATTTTATAAAAAGGACAGGATGTCTCTCTCACAATTTCATACATTAAAAATATAATATCAGAACCACTGTATAGCAATCTGTATTTCATTTGAATTTCAATCACATGAGTTCCGCACAATCTCATTCCACATTCAATGAGGGATGCATGTTTTATGAGCGGCCGTTTTCACAAATGCAGTTACACTTGTGTGAGTTTGGGTGATTCTGCATATATGTGTGTGAGAAGGAGAGGCAGAGAGTGAGCAATGAACAGATAAAGAGCCGGCAAGGGCTAAAGACAAAAGACAGAGAGTGTGATGAGTGTGTGATGAGTGTGTGATGAGTGTCTGATGTATCCAGGAAGAGAAGTAGATCGGAGAGAGAAAGTGATCGGCTTAATGACACAGGATCCACATGGCAGAGAGAAGCTCCGTGTGTGATATGATGAATCAAAACACTGAAAACCTCAAGCCTCTCCACTCACAGCCGACACACAAACAGTCATAAAAAAACTCTGAGATTAACTGCTCAGATTCTCTGTTTACAAGGTAACTGAATTGGTGGTTTTCTCTCTGCCTGTTCCACTACTTCTCTGCCCTTTTCCGTCAGTCTGTGGCTCTCAGGATATAATCACCACAGCTTCCAATACGCTGTCGATACGCAGAACTGAAACCCTCCCAACCTGTTCCCCTGCTGCGACCATGAACAATACGTCTGGCTGACTTTGACAAATTAAACCAACTCGATATATGGAAATAACCTTCACGGGATGACATGGAGGGGGGAAAAGGGAAGCA